AGAGAGAGAGAGGGAGAGAGTCTATATATACATCCCAAAGAGGCTGGTGCTCACAGGCACAGCTGGACTACTGGATAACTGGACTCTATCCCACTGGATATTTAACTAGAAAGGTGAGTTTCTTCTTCTTTTGCTCTAATTCTTGATTCTGCATCCCCATCATCTACTTCACCAATCCATCATCATTTATAATGTTCCACAGAAAGAGAGACGGAAAGAAAGAAAAAGGAATTAAATTAGTTTCGTTTGTTCAGCTTTTTCTCTTTTCTTGAACTTGACCTTTATTCTATCCATTGATTTTACATTTAATATTTCCATGAAAGTTTGAATCCCCAGCTGTTGAGAAATGGCCTCGATTCCAGTGAAATGTCAGAGGTGGAGATGAGTCCTCTGGGGGATGTGGTTTTGTTGCAGACGCACGTACGTGGTCTCCATTAAAGCTCTCGAGCTCCGTAGCAAAGCATATCAGGGTGAAAAAAGGAGAGAAGTGTTTGATCAACTGTTTGTGTGGGACTCGCCTTTTTTCTCTTCTGCTCTCACAAAAAGGTATTTTACTTTTTGTGTTAAAAGAGGACAAACTTTAGAAGATATTTCCGAGCACAAAGCAAGATAATTACTCAGTAAGTATTTTTCTTTCAATGTTATTTATCAGATTTTTTTTTTTTTTTCAGAATGGGATTTCAGTGTGTTTGTGTAATTACACCTCAAATGTTTAAATTGTGCCGTTAAGTGTTATTTTCATCAGCTGGTTCGCATGTGTAAAAAAGAAAACACACTGATGACATGTGACTGAATTAAGTAAATCTAATTAGTAAACTGTAAAATGACACCACTGATCTCATCACTGCAGCAATTACTGGTGGGCCTGTGTTCTGTGGTTAAAAAAAAACAACCTGTATTTGTTTCTTTGACAGAAACCTTTAAAAAACGTAATATTTCCAAAATAGTTTTAATTACATTGAGGCTGCAGTGAGGACGGAAGTGCGATTGCGTTATTGAACAAGTGCAGTGGTGGGGATTTTCTTCTCAGCCCTGGGTGTGCCTTTTTCTCAACTGGATATGGACTCCAGGGAACGAGAAACGAGAAACGAGTTAGATCATATTTTACGCCAGATACTATATTACCGTCACCAACGTAAATCCCCTCCTTTTTCCCATGTTGTGAACATCTGTGTTAGTTTTGGGTCTTTGCTATTGTTAGACCAGTGAAATAATGACACCCCAGAGGGCCAGTACTGCAACGTTGCACAAGACCTCACGTCATAATTCACGAGTACACACACCATGTTTGATATTTGTTTTGAGCTGCCATCCATATTTGCCTTGTTTGTATATCTTCATGAGCTCCTTTTTTATTTAGTCAATGCCACCAAGACTAAAAAAACGAGTCCCTGTCATTAACTGAGGCTCTGAGGGTGCGGCATGCAACTTGATGCCTACATGTGCTGACATGACCTGCAGTTGGCTCCATTGTAGGATTTTGTTTGTCAGGAAAATGTCCTGTGGGAAAAGAACGACTTCATATCAGCTGATTACATTTGCTTTGCCAAATCTAACCAAACCAAAAAAAGAGCCATATTTTCTGTGAAATGCCATAAAGTCACGCCATATTGAACTTTACAAGGGTGTCGTGTTTCTTCTCCTTTCAGGCACCACCAAGGTCTCTGGCTGTGGAAAACTTATTAGCTTAGTTAGGGTGAGATACACAATACAAAGATGAACAGTGTGGCAGATTGGCTCGTCCAGAACAGGGACAAGATTGAGAAAGGTGTGGAGATCATGGGGCAAGCCTCCGAGGTGCTCGCTTCAACTGTGGGTCAGCTTCATCCCGTGCTGGAGGCAGTGTTCGTGGCTTCAGCCGAGCTTCTCAGCAACCCGGATGGCAAGGAGGCTCGCTACCTGACCCAACAATTCGAAATCGTCAACCAGCAACTCGAAGGAATCCAAGATGAGATCGATAAAATTGCCCTGGAGCTGCAGAAGACGTCAATGAACAAGCAGAACTTTGATCGAGAGGCACAGATGCTCAGCCAGTATGAAAAGTTCCAAGACTTCGTCAACGCCAAGCCGAAGTTCCGGGAGAAGAAGATGCAGAAGTTCCTCAGCCATTACGAGAACACAGATGGCGACTTGAACTTGGACGCACTCTACAATTCCGTCACTGGGGAGAACACTTCAGGAGACCCTATGCTGGAAACAGTAGTCACCATAGAGCAGAGAAGCAGACGCACTCTACAATTCCGTCACTGGGGAGAACACTTCAGGAGACCCTATGCTGGAAACAGTAGTCACCATAGAGCAGAGAAGCAGACGAGCAGTGGAGGATTTCTGTGCCCGTCTGAAGAAGCTTTTTGTTGTAGGTATTATCGCCGTCATGGGCCATGCTGCCCTCAAGGAAGGAGCAGTGGGCGAGGACATGGTGAAGAAGTGGCAGGGACGCATGGAGGAAGTGGAGAACCGAATGAAAGCCGCAGTGGATGACTGTACAGAGAACTTTGCAGAGCAAGCCAAGGTGGACATGGAGCACCTGCTTCAGGAGAATTCCGGCACCATTGACGCCAACTTTACCAAATCCCTCCTGGATTCACTTGTGAAGAAATACGACTGGGTGAACTGGTCCATCAGGGCCTTCAGCGACAAGGAGCGCATTTTCTTCTTCAACTGGCTGGCAGGAAAGAAGTACCACGGGAGCGGAGGCGCCAACTGGTTTGATGTTTTGACCAAGAACAGGCTCAAAGTGGTGGTCTCCTTCTGCGTCGACCCCAAGCCCATCAACAAGAAACAGATCCAGGAGCAGCTGGAGGCGCAGAAGCTGAAGGGGAACATGATGAAGGTGGCTCTGTCTTTGCGCAAGAGCTTCCCCAACTGCCTGGTGCACGCTGTCAGCCATTACAAGCAGGTGGTGGAGACCAACAACTTCCATGAGGACTGTTACTACTTTGTAAAAGACAAGAGAGCCTACCTGTGTATCCACCCTGAGTAGGCTACATAAACTGTAGCTGCTCCCACGAAGAATCAACCTACAAATACATTCATGAATGTCTGGAAATATCTCCATCAGATAAAGAAATCTTTCCGTAAATATCGTCTGTGTTGATGCATATTCTGCTCTGTCTGCTCACCTGAAATCTATTCTTTTACAAACAGAGTAAATCTTCCGTCTGCTTGATGAAGCAGCAGCTTGAGGGTGTTATAGAAATGTGAAGTTTATTCTGTAAAACATAACCGTAAGCCGTCTTTTCCGTGACTCGCTCGCTAACTTCTGGCTATCGTCTCTGCTTCAGTGGTGTATGTCTCTCCGGCTGAGGGCAGCGGGGCAGCCGGTTGGTTAGTGACAGACAGGTACGCCAGCAAATCGTGACTAACAAAATGAAATGATCCGTCCTGTCGTGCTAGCTTTTTTTTTATTAATTGATGGCTCTTGGCACGTGAGGTAGGTTTCAATATTCAAGAAACCAACCCTACGTTTAAGTGTTATGAAACCTATAAAGATTAGATATGAGCAGGGGTGGGCAATATGACGATGTTAGTCTGCTAGCTGATATATCTAAGGAACCCTTATCTTTCGATCCATCTCCAGGTGTATCACACGAGTGACCACTCCTAGATATCTTATATCCAAATATCCAATCATTTCTTTTGCTGCTTTTGGTGCAATAAAGTGCTGCGGGGGAAACTTCTAAAATCTTTAGTCTACAATCTTTACCGAGACACTTGTGTATATTTCACTTTAATTTGTAATAAACAACAAATAAGAATGTTTCTGTCATCACTGGTCATTACTCGGATATTTAAAAAAAGCAGTTTTTGGAGCAGCATGTTCTCAGTGTTTATCAAAAGGGTGGAGGTTCCTCGGTATGAATGAGGAAGGAGGCTCACACAACTTTTTCCTCCACCGCCCAACTTTTTTTTTTTGTGTGTGTGTTTCTGTGACTGGGTGTGACTCTGCTCTGTAACGTGAGAGCCACGTGACCAATAGGAAGACAAACACTCTGGAAGTCTGTAGTTCTTCCGCAAACTCTTCAAGGTGAGTTCATTTCTAAACCTCTCAGAGTGGACGGGGACGTGTAGACTAACTGTGAGGGACCGAGGGGACACGTTAGAGGGAAATGTTCGCTTCAGTTTCATCCACCTTTCAAAAGTTTCTCGTTACATAACCGTGCGTTTTTCCACTTTTACGCACGGCGCTGCTCCTCAACCTCTCCAACACGCGCACACACCTCACAAACGCAGCTTGGTGTAATAAAGTGAAGCAGGTGATTTGGATGAATCTGCACGTTTTTAACGCAGTTTGAACACAAAGTGTCTCCAGGTTTGGGCGTTGGTTGCCAGCTCCGCTTCACTTTTTCCAGGAAGCGTCAAACTTCTTTAAAGAGGCGTCATCCACGTGCTTGTAACCAAAAGCTCGTCCTGTGGTGTTAACCTGCCATGTTTGTTTGCTTCTCCGTCCTCGTGCTGTGAGAGATGATACAATTAGAGGCCCTGTAGTCTGTGGGATCGATATGTTCTCCATTAACAGAGCATTAACAGTGGAGGAGGTCGGTCTGTGGCTCGGGGGGAGTCAGCTGACTCGGGGGAGGGACGCAGGAAGATCCGGGACATTAAACACCAACTGATTCTCATCTCTCCAGAAACAAACGACATCAAGAATGTATCTGTTTTTGGTTCTATCTTGGTTTTATCATAAAGCTGTGAGAGGAAGTAGAGTCGTTGAGATCATTGCATTTCATAAACTGACATATAAACAGTTCCAGATCCTTCAGTCACTGGTATTTTATCAGTTTCTGATCATTTCGACACTCAAATACAAGTAGAAGTACTTTGTTCTAAATGTCACTAATTTAAAAGTACAAAAGTTTTATCAGCAACATGGACATAAAATATAAAGGTACTGCTAAGTAAAGGTACTCTGAATGATATGTGATTATATTGTATATGTGTAAATACGGATGTTTCATTTTCTGTTGCAGCTGAGGTGGAATTACTTATAAATAGGTTTTGATACAGACTTTGTATTCCCCTTTTTATTGATTGCATTTTTATGAATGATGACACGTTTCCATCTTTGGTAAATACAATCTCACAGTTATTTAAAAGAGATGAACTAGAGGGGAATTAAAGTTTTTTTGTATCTGGACATTTGCTTTATCGGAAATGGTTTAATCTTTAAATATAGTTAGTTTTTTATGGGATTATAATATGTATTTTTAATCTGCAATTGGTCTTCTCATGGTGAATAAACATTAGGTACTTTTTACAGTATTAGGTGTATTTCCACCACTGTATGTGTCTGAATATGAGTGGACATATAAGAGAAATTCTGTGCTGCCTGTTTCGTTCGTTGTCTCTGAAAATGTGATTTCTCGGAGCACTTCTGAATTAACTGTGTGAAGGTGCCTCACATGCACTTAGACTGCAGCTACACAACCCCAGAGAGGATGAGAGAGAGAACAGATCAGTGGAAAACAGGAATCTTTATCACAGTCAAATCAAATAAGATGCAGTAACTGTCAGTTCTCTGACGTCCGAATGGATTCTCATGTACTTTGTTGTGTCTGTTCTCAAACCTACGAGAAAATGATTCAAACATTACATATTTTATCTCACAAATGTTGCTCGCTCTCATTTTAGATCTCAGCTGTTGATGTTCAAATCATTTAAAGATGTAGTTCAACATTTTGGGTGAAACTTTTTCAGTTTCAGTTACATGACAAGTCTCTATGAAGATGCATCTGTAGCTTAGCATAAAGACTGGAAACAGGGGGGAACTGCTAGCCTGGCTATGTTGAAAGTTAAAAACCTGGCAGCTCCTCTAAAGCTCATTGAATAACATACTGGATATTGTCTGTTCGACACAGAATGCATGTTAAATTCAGCTGATGCTGTTTTTTGAGGTTGGGTGTTGAGTCACTGCTCTGAATCAACAAACAGTCACTATGTGAGTTTCTTTACTTTTGAGGTTGGGTGTTGACAGATGTTGTCGACTGAGCCAGGTTATAAACTGAGCTTTAACTGTTCGGTCACAAGAGCAATGTAATGAGTACGTGCATCACCTGTAAGATATCAAACTGTTTGTCTAATTGTTAGACGTAAGATAATACATCCTACAGTTATAGGTATTTGTCACGGCTGCAGACGTGTGCGATGATTCAGACTGAGGGAAGAGGTGTTATCTTCTCCCTGCAATCTCCTGCAGCGTAGCCAGATGAACCCCCCCCCGGGACCGAGCGGACCTCAGCAGCTGACAGATTACTTTCCATTGTCTTGTTGCCGTGGTAACTTGCTGAGTTCCACTGGAAAACGCACCCTTGCCCAGCAAGTTTCACCTCGTTCCACTTTATCACTTCCCACGCCCGCTGCCTTCATATCGACTGAGGCGGAGAACTGTGCTGCCGCAGCCTCTGCCTCAGCCGCAGATTAGAAATGGACACGAAACCCAGAAACCTGAACAAAACATTAACTCGTGACGAGGTTGCTGCATAAACAGTGTAATCTGATCTGACTGTGTGAGGCCGGCGACTGTCTGTACCAACAGATTTGTACCAGAATGTCATTAATTCCACCCATAAAACACGTTTTTGTCGAAGGACAAGTCTGAACATGCCCGTTACATCATCCGTTCCTCCCGTCAGTGTGGCGTTCGAGGAGGAGACGTCTGTATTTCATTAACTCAAGTGGACATCTTGTGTTTAAGGTGGCAAAGTGCAGGACAGGAAGTGACTGTCATCGCCGAGCATGACTGAATACTTTAATGATTTATGCGTCGTTACTACGATAAGTGAATTGACTTTCCTGGTGCAGTAGATTTACAGACAGAATAACAACTGTTTAACAAAACAACCCAGACTCAAGGTCCAGCTCCTCGACTTCAGTCTGGTCTCACGGTCGGTTTGGCTCAAAGTTAAAGGAATAGTTTGTCATTTTAAGGAGAAAGAGTTGGGATGAACAAGCGTTTCAGATTTCACAGCTGGTTATGTGTACGAGGCCATGCTCGAGTTTGTTTTTATAAAATAAGCTTTACACGTGCTAGTAGGTGAAGTTCACCTAGCTTGCAATCTAGGTGAGTAACAGAACAAATTTCCCAAGATGTTAAACTATTTCCTTTACACGTGAATGTTTCTCGTTGACATCATTTCATATTTCACAGTTTATTATTTCACCATATAATGTAATAGTAGTAGTAGTCCTGGTCAGGCTTGGTGTTGAAGTCATAGTTTACTCAGATAAATTAATTCTGCTTTGTTTCTCACAGTGTTTAAAATACAAACTTTAAACTTCCAGAGTGACGTAACAGTTAAACCCACACTGCTCTTCCGTCACTGCTGAATTCCCTTCTCATTGTTGACTCATCGCTCGCTGGGTGTGACCAGCAGCCGGCTCTGACGCTCACTCTGGTTTCTCTCTCTCCTTATCAGTTTGTACCGTGTGGTGAGAGGAGCAGGCGAGCGGCCCACAGTCCAGCAACACTTCCACAGAACTGTAAGTAAAATCAACAACATTTGTTTCTGAATCCCAGGTTTTATTTTACTGACAGGATCAGTTCGGTCTGTTTCTAACCACGTCGATGTTTTTCCTCGTCAGAATCAGCCTGAGCGACACCAGCGAAGATGGCAGACCAGCTGCAGAAGCTTGTAGCAGAGAGGAAGGACATGGTGGAGACTGTGATGGAGGTGTTCGAGCAAGGAGCCGAAGTGGTGGCCAGTATCGCGGGTGACCTCTTCCCCGTTTTCTCCATCGCCGCTCCGATCGTCAAACTGGCTCTGGACAATGTGGAGAGCAAAGAGGCCGCGTTCATGAAGGAGCAGTTTCAGAAAGTTCGGGAGCGTCTGGAGGTGGTGTCTGAGGAGATTAAGCGGATCAACGACGAGATCAAGAAGAGCGGAGTGGATACTGCGTATTTCTCACTGGAGGAGAACATCACCAACCAGTTCAGGAAGTACATGGACATCCTTAACGCCAAACCCAAGTTCAGAGAAGTCAAGAAGAAGCTTTTCCTGGACCATTTTGCCAAGACGGGGGGCGACAAAAACCTTAACACCCTCTACAACGTTGTGACTGGAAATAACTTCTCCGGGGAGTCTGTGCTGGAGATCACCCTGAACTACGAGGGGAAAAGTCGCCGGGCGGTGGAGGACTTCTGCGCCAGACTAAAGAAGCTTTTCTGCATCGGACTAATCGCTCTGTTGGGCCACGCCGCTCTGAAGGGATACGACGAGGAGGATGCACTTCTGAAAGACTGGGGTGAGAAGATGAACACTGTCCAAGGTAAAATGAACGCTGTGATCGAAGACTGCATCGTCAGCTTCCCCAAACAGGCCGAGCTGGATTCCCGTCAGCTGGTGAGAGACCAGTCCCACTTGACCAGCCAGGAGTTAGCTGATGCTATCATAGAGAAACTGAAGAAGAAGTACGACTGGGTCGGCTGGTCCGTGCGCGTGTTCAAGTTGCCTTCGGGCCTGTTCGCCAACAAGAAGGATTTCCACTGCCCAACGGGGAAGAGTCGCTTCCAGGTCCCTTCATCGGATGAGAAACTCAATGTCTGGGTGTCCTACAGCTCCTCGTCTGAGCCTGTGGACGGGAGCCGCATCCAGCAGCTGATCCAGAGTCAGAAGAAGGTCACGGTGAAGGGTGTAGCTGAGTTCCTGTTCGAGACGTTACCCGGCGACTGCGTGGTCCACACGGTGAAAACCAGCAAGGACCTGGCCTGCTCCTGGAGCTTCAGCGACGAGCTACACTACTGGGAGGAGCACAAGAACTTTTTCGTCTGCGTTCACTCCGCTTAAAGTTTCAGATGCTCAAAAAACTCTCGAGTCACTAATTCTGCTTCATGTTTGCACAGATGTATTCACTGAGTATGCCGCTGCCTCTCATGTTACACACTATGTGCCTTAAAAACACCTCTCTGTCTTTTCTAAGTTCATCTTTTCTACTTTTCTAAGAATGTTTGTTGTTAGTTTCTTGCAGCGATCGGGTGCAAACACCACAAACCGACAGTCCTTTTCTTTTTCACATTTCTGTTTTGCTTCTTTCTCAAAAGAACTAAAAGAGCGTTGTCCTCTTTTTGGACACTAGAACAAAGCTCGATTGTATTTTCGACAGTA